ACCTCTGCTTATATTGCCTTACATTGAATGCGTTGTAGTACAATTTGTGGCGCTATCTTTTATCAACGCCAGATTTGACGCCATTCAATTAAATTTATATATGAGCACTCATGCAAATTTTTACAAATATCTTACGAGCTCTGGTCTGGTGCTAGAAAATTGTGTGGGTTAAAAGGGATTTGTTTACTCCAACATGCTCGTTATTAAATTTCTTTTTTCTTAGATTTGGATGGTGCCTTCATAAACGAAAATATTGTACGAATATATCATCTGATCTTGATATTATTCATAGCCAATCAGAGTTGAAAGAAACAAAGTGAAATCAACACATTTTGCCTATCATTCACACTTAGTATTAAATTAAAGAAATTAAAATATATTAAACTGATAAATTCTAAAATCAATGTTGTTTTTATAATCAAACAAAAAAAAATAAATCATTAATTAAATTAAAGTAATTTTTGACGTCAATAGAATTAATTTTTATTTCTGTTTTTTGTGTGTATTTATATATTTTAACACGTCATGTTTAGCGATTATCAGTGAAAAAATAATTCAAAATAATTATTAAACGCTGATTTACACAAAAAAAAAATACAAAAAATAGGTCAATAAATTGTTTGTAAATTTACAACACGAAGGTGTGGCTAGACAATAAATTTGATATGTCTTACGAGCTCTGTGTTTTGAATTAGTCATTTTTCATATATAGATATTTTTATAATTAAGTGGTTTTATGTGGATTTTTAAGATAGCCATAAACTTTTTTCTGTAATTAACTCTAATTGCTAGACCTCAATTTTATTTTGTTGTCCTAAGCTTCTGCCAAATATAATATAATATATTATACTTATGTTTATAACTATGCGATCAGTGCCGTACTAATACTTCCTTATCTATGTAATCTTTAAGAGGGCAATCTAACAAAGCACGCAAAGATTCTGGATGATGTTTGGAATTCTCCAAACCTTAAGGAATTTAATAAGATTTAAGACTAGCTTTCTCTAAAGAATTCGAAGTGGTCATCAGTGACCGATCAACTAGGAGGAATTACGAAATTATCTTAAAATAGAGCTCACACTTATGGTATACTGATGGGTTCAAAATGGAAGATTGCAGTGCAGCAGCAGAAAGTGTAAAACCGAAATTCCGCAAAACAATTGCAATGAAAAAACCGCTTCCATTTTTCAGGCAGAGACCCATGGTTTAGAGCTATGTGCGAGAGAGTGCCTACGCAGGGGCACTCGAAGTACCAAAATATGCATTCTTCCGGACAGCGAAACAGCTCTGGATGAGTATTAATAGATAATTGAAGACTTAAGTTATTTTGGTCAGCCTTCCTTAAGAATAAGAGAAGGTACGTGATACAATCTTTCTTGGATTTAGTTGTACGATATTAGTAAATATTTTTTACTTATATTTGTTCAGAATTTTCATTAAAGACATTAACAAAACTAATTACTCTTGACACATGATGCTACGAGTAAATATGAACGAAACACCTTTAGTAGAGCCGGAACCCATTTGCGGAATTAACAACAGCTTCAAAACAAGCCTAGTACGCGAAAGGAAGAAACAAAACCTAAATGTCTTCTGAAGATAAATATGAACAAATCAAGGATCACTATAATACACTTCATAATACAGTGTAAAAACCATGTCAAAAAAACTATGTGATAACAACTCCAATGATATTAAAAACTCAAAGACATTAATTTCTTGAATATTGAATATTCATTCGGCAGACTTAAGCGATCAATACTATTATTGATCCGAATTAATAAGTAAATCCAATATAAAGTGATACATTTTTAGTTGAATAATTTGTAAATTTTGTAAGATAATATTGCGCCTTCATTGTGACAAAATCGAAGACCAGAGAAGTGATGAGTGCCAATGAAAAACCAGTGAATTCAACAGATTCCTTATACGTTTTATTTTAATGTTCTCAAAACAAACTATGCACTTATATACTCCGAATATATAATGACTCGATTTAGCCAAATTAGTAGAAGGAGCCTTACAGGTAAATGCTCATTATAATATTGGGTCTAGTAGATGAAAACGAAAATATTGATACAATTTGAGTTAAGAATCTAGTATAAGGAGGCGAACATTATAATGATAATTTAAATCTAAAGAGTAAGGTTTACAGGGCACATAATTAATAAGTATGTGATTATCCAAAACAAATTATATTGCTTAAACCTAACTATTTAGATTGTAACAGAAGAATATCCTGGCTGAGGAAACTGGTGAACATTTTCGGAAAATAATTTAAAGACCCAATGTGTATTTCATAACTTAATATTATGATTCAATACTACTTTGTATTGCTCATACTACTATTATATATAGCATAGGATTGTGCGATTTCTCACTTCACTGTAACTGTTTTAAAACTTAAAAAAATTTGAAAATATAAATTCCGATTCAGGAGGTTTGATGAAATCTGTTTTCATAAGAAGGAGCATTTTTGAGCATTTATTAATATGAATTTTATAGTTCATCGATATCAAAATTAATTCAATTTTTTGTTTAGAAATTATGATTCTTCGTATTATTCTGTATTATTATTTACTTTTCTTAACAAAGTTCAATTTAAATTTAAGTCACTGATCTGTTATCCAAGGCAAAATTGCTTTGGACGTCAATCGTACTCGCATATTGAGATTCCAAAGAAATCAATCAAATTTTTTTTTTCTATTTCGTCTTCATGTTTCTCTCATTTTTAAATTTATTCAATCGACAAAAAGAATTTGCTTTTGAGCTCAAATTAGAGATACTATTTCAAATTTATATATACATTAAAATTAAAACAAAAAATGTAAATTATACTTAAATAAAACACTAAATTAAAATGAAATAGGAATGAAGTTTAAAATCAAAACATCAGCAAGATGCGATTTTAGTCTTTGACGTCAATTGTTGACATTTGCGTTCGTTCAATTGTTTTCATCATGGGAAACTTACGAAATGGTAACAAAGAAAATGTATTTCATAAAAATCAGCTCAGTAAGTTTAAAAAAAATAAATATATATAAATATGATATTTTTATTTTACTCGAAATCAGCAATATTTCATTATAAACTTGGCAATGAGCGTGCCTTTATTTCATTTCACAATGTTTAGCTTTCGTCAGCAAAAGTAAAAACTGCCTGAAAATCCCTTAATATGAGACTTCTAGAACTCATGTTTGCTTGACGTAGGTTATGATAGCATATTTTTAATATAAATAATAAAAATATACTACATTTATAGAGTAGTTATAATAACAGATCCAATAACTTTGAAAAATTTTGGTAGTACCCAATAATTTGAAAAAATCTACTGTAAATTTTGAGTTTTAAGAACTGTCGAAGATAAATACTATTCTTGCTACCAATTTTATATATAATACTATACTATTTTTATATAAATTAATAATTTTTAACTAACAAGAAAAATTACCAAGTACGTACACAGATTTCACGCGTAATCCATTGCCAGATAGTCTAACTTAATACCTTATGTAATGCAAAGTCGGTAACAGAAACAGTTCCCCTGTTTTCATTCTTACAATTTGTATTTACGAGATATACTTTATGCCCTAGGCGGTCTATCACAAATAAAGTCAATAAAATTAAGCGAAGGACTTAAAAATATTGATATATAAGCATTCGTAATACCAACATCGAAGCTACTTTTTATCTGTTAAGTATTTATTTATATATAATAATGTTTGTTGATACTAAAACTAGTTAGAAGAGAACTAACGAGTTAATCCGCTCTGATGTCATCACATATATTTACTAATATACCATATTTTTAAAATCTTTACTTCAAGTTAAATGACCACTATAAGGTCATATGGCTTCTTTCGATTAAGTCACCGGAAAAGGCGGTATTGAAAAATCTGTAAGATTTTTCGTTTACATGTTCTTGGAAACGATTAAAATGAGTTTTTGCTTTTTCTTTACTTTCCTCATATCTCGGTGATTATAGACATTGCAAACGTACAATAACATAAATGTTGTTTTGTATTGTTTTGGAGAATTCTATTTTCAAGTTGTTGGATTATATTGATATGGTTTTAGATAGCACAGCCCCAAATTTGTGTACCATAAGACAAAATTTCTTCAATCGATTCGCCATTAGACTAAAGTTTATTTTGGAAAGAGACTTAGTGTTTGGGGTTTACTGGCAAATTAAAATTATGTTTTGCCATTTATAAAGTTCACTTATTCGAATGAAACCGATAAACTGCAGATTCACAAAGAATTAATGAATATACTGAGATAGCCAGTAGATGTGTAGTTATGAAACTTATTCTACTGTAATAAAATATTTATCTTCTTACAATTTTAGCCATTCTACCAATCATAACAACTAACGTCCACTAATAACTTTTTGTCATAAAAAGAATAAAAATTCTACCAGGCAATGTAATTGTAGTGCGAATGAAAGATTGTAGTGCAGTTGAAATCTAGAAGATTATTTTGAAAACTGTCCAAGTTTTTTGGACTGTTCTATCTTGCTAGACCTTGTTCTAGATGTTAGACGTCATTGTGTTAACAGGTGGTCTCAATTATAGGACTTTTATGAACACATCATAAAGAAAAATATAATAAAAACAAAAACAAAACTAACAATAATACACAGCCCCTCCTCTTTTCTAATATATTTAAACCTTGTGATCATCAATTTTGTCGTCATATTAAGACTTGATTAAATTTATAATCAAAACAATTAACGTAAATTTTATTTATAGTAATCTAGAGATTATGTATTATTTAGTGAGGTTTTTTTTTAGTTTTCAAATTTGAATTAAAAAATGTTATGAAAGTCGTCAGATAATTTGCGAAATTATTAAAAGATGTGTACAGGCATGTTATGACATATAATATAATATTTGTCCTATGAAAAATATTATGAAGCCTACATATAACTTTAGTTATATTAATATATATCATATATAATTAATGTACATAAATGTGCAATACATAATAAATCAACTTACCAAATATTGAGTAGAAATAAGTTTAAATAGTTTTGTCGTCTTGAATTTTCAATATGCTCTTTGGCATATAATTTTAATCCTTTAATAAAAAAATATAAATACATAAAATTTTTTCAATTCTAAAAAAGTAATAGTTATTTACCAATATTGCAATACATATACTTCAGAATAAAGCACTCTTTCTCCTTATCTCAAATGCCTAAGGATGAAGACGTCTATTATTTACGGTTCTGTAGATTATTATTATCAACCACTTATCGTAACGAGGATCAGTTTAAATTTAATATGCATAAGTATGCTTTACTTTTGGCAGCTCATGTTTATAGTTGATTAAACTTTCACTTCCAGAACTAAAATTAAATTTCTTTAATCTTTTATAAATAAGAGCTAACCCGACAGTGTCCTTTGGAGGGTATTACCTTATCTGAAATTATTTTTGCTAAAAGAGAATATAGGTATTAAAATTTTTATATATATTATATAAAGAAACCATGTATTGCTATCTGCTTCCTCCTTAGATAACTGATGACAAAAATGTTTGATAAGTTTTTACAGTTAACACCTATAAATTAAAGAATAAAGGACTTTTTTATTATAAGTTATAAAATATTCGAAATTTGAAAATTTGTTTTAATTGATTTAACTTTATGCTTGTACATTGTTTAAAAATGTTTAGAATAGCCATTATTCGATACGAATAAATTTAATTTAGTTTCAAAATATTGACTTAATAAATTCAACCAATTTAATCCTACGATTTATAGATCAATTTTATTAATTAATTAATAATTAATAATTAGTTAATTATTATATTTTATTCCTTTCTTGTGACCAAAAATATTATATAATAATTTGTTTGAGGAGACTAATTGGTCAATTTAAATACCAATAAAAACGTAGAAGTATGTAGAAATAAAATAGATCAAACTCCTTAAATTTTGAACTCGTTGAACATAAATTGCCTTAGAAAAAGAAAAGAACGCCATGATTCCTTATTTATACGTAGGATTGATTAGACATGATAATCAGATTTATTTTCAATGGAACAAAAAGCCTTCAGATTCAGGAAGATTAATTAATTATAATTCGAATCATCCAAAACATGTTAGTCTAAACACGGAATCCAATTTTATTAGAATAGTTCTGGTACTAAGTGATAATGTATTCCATAGCAAACATACAAATATTGTGGATTATATTTTAAAAAACATAAATAAGATTAAATAAATAAATAAGATTAAGTAATTAAATAAGATCTCTAAAAACTTCTAAGAAATAATGACAAAAAGATACATAAATCAATTAACTATAATCATCTCATTAAATAATAAACTCCAATATATATGACATGACACATTATAAAATCATCCAGAAGGCAACAAACTCAATGGCTACATTATATAGCAACACTAAATGAAAAATAAATAATAAGTTAAAATCTAATGTAGTGTACAAGCTGGATTTTTAATGTGACGGGTATAACATAGGTAATAAAATATATGTAGGTACGACCAAGAATAGCCTTAAGACAAAAATGGCTGACATAAACACAGCATGAAAAATAAGTGTTGCTGGAGCGAACACAGCACAGTAATTCGTACCCGTTTTATAATTTAGTCTCTTGCTATTCGGAATGTTTAGTATTGAAGCTTAGTTTAGTTTAGTATCCATACTGGCCAAACGTTCCGATATTGCCTTATATTGTAGTGTTTTAAGTACGTAATAAAATTCTGATAAAAAATCCATATTATACTGTTTTAACTGTTTTAATAAACGCTTCGATTTCTTGTAATACGGTAGTCTTATAAGTACTTAATGAAATTTTGATCAGAAATTATTAAATATAAAAATTCAAATTCATAAATTACAACGATAACAATGATTTAATGATATACCTTAATTCATTTGACAACAATGTCTGATCAAAATTAGAGTCCTTATACCATTAATTGGTACGTATACGTTTCGAATTGCTAAGCGAATAAATTTCAAGTCACATAGATAGATAGATATTATCTAAACCCTATATATAAGGGATAGCATGTATTTCTGAATCGATATGTTCGGATTCATCTAACAATGTGCAAACATTTTAATCCATCTTTTTATATTCATTCCAATGCTGATATAATATCATATACATTGTTATTTTCTCTTTAATTGTTATGATTTCTGTTTTTAGTTTTTCTCCTTAAAATGATACGTGTTTGTTTATATTACTGCACTTTAATAAACATAAGGAACAAAGAGATTGCTGAGGCAATCGATTTAAAAAGTCATCCGACGATTCGAATTTCATTTTTTTTATCATAAAACTGTTTATGCTTTCAAGTAAATAGTTATATTTTTAAAACTTTATAGTTCTTTAACAAGAACACTTAAGTAAATATAGACGTTGCTGTTTATAATTGTTTTGGTTTTGTGTTTAAGGTGACCCATTAGAATGTATTATGGGTAATATCGGAACTATGGGTAAGAAATGTATTAGAACGTCTAAAAAAAATACGCAACTAATGATTAGAAATATGCCTATTTATTTCATGGCCAGCTATGATTGCTCAAACTTAAATGTTTTGTATATCATATTATGCTTTTATAAAATATACATACATACAATATGTTTATGTAATAAAGAACTTAAAGCAATTATTTCTTAAGAAATAATCATTTGTGTTCATGCAAATCTAGAAATTCCTAAAGTACCTTGTTTATGGTTGTGTACTACAGACTCAATAGTGTTCCTTATTATTGACATACTCTTCTAAAAAGCCATCTATTAAAAACTAAATCCCACCACTACTCAGAAAAATATTATAGAAATCCATAAGCGTACTAAAATCCACAAGAAGTACTACTATACAAACGAAAAAAAAGCTTAACATTACGCATGTTCGCAGATTTTTTGTATTATATATAAACTTACGTTATTACGTATTCCGTTAAAAAAAAATTTCTCTGGATTTTCCACAAGACAGCTTATTTGAATCAGTTTAGTACCTAATATATACAGCAGATATGTCTACTTAATTATATACCTTTGTTTCCGCATTCACCGTTGACGCAAATGTAAGTTAACACCCTTACCCTTAAGTCGCTTATTCTCAATTAGATTTCAACTTAAAAGACTTCAAAGTAAACGAATATATACGTTTATACGTACCATAAAATCTGCCAGCAGATGAGGATAAACGGAGTTCTACTTATACAAAATGACCAGGTTAAATACCGTGACTTTCAGAACTCTGTATGTAAAACACATTACTATAAATTCATATATCAAACCAATCTGGTTGCTCGGAATCGAACTATGGAACAGTAAAGGATAAAAGAATATTGACAAAATCCAGAAATTACAAAAAATGTCTTAAGATTAGTAACACCACGAACTTGCCTTTTTGAGACGTTCAAGTGTCAAATTTTTTTTGAGAGATTTCACACTAATTCTAACTGTAGTGGGTTTCGCTTATTTTCTTAACTAATAGTTTCAACTTAGAAATTTCTTTGCATATTTTAAAAGTAAATTATTTCTATGTATCGTAAAAATAAGCCATAATTTACACTCAAATACTTTTGTTAAGACTAATGACCATTTTTTAAACGAAAAATTGGAAACCAATATCAATTATAATTGATTTTATGAACATTTGTCAGTTGAAGCAATCAAATCAAAATTGCAGACAATTCAGCAAAATACCTTTTTTATATTTGAAATAGTTCACTTTATTGATGAATGATATTTTCTTCAATGCAAATTCTTATTTAAAATCACATTATATTAAAATAATAATAAAAATCCACTTTCAATTTTTCACAGTATGTTCTGTAGTACGGGCGAATGATTAAAATTAAACTCATTTTTTTATTTCCTTACAAAAATACTCATACCTTGGATCCTATTAGTACTCCAATCTAAGTCGAAGTGAGTAATGAGTCACTTTATTTTAATAGTAAAATAATTAATAAATAACATATTTCATCATCACACCATATTAACAAGAAATGATATACTGGTATGATTAGAATATTTTTAAAACTCATTCCGAGTTTTTAATCAATAGAAATTAAGAATTCCAAACAAAAATTATAGTTTTTTCATTCAATTGTTCACTTTCTTAATTTTTGATAGTTTTCTCACTATTTCCACTCCATTCTTTTTAAAATTGATTTTTTTGTCAAAAGATATAAAATTCTTAATGAGAAATGTATTATGATTATATAAAATTTATATAATCTTTTATATAAGAAATGTAACGAAATGTGATTTTCGCAATTAGGTTTCAACTTGTTATAAGTACTTGTTATAGTTTTTATATAAAGATTTAATTAGTTTCTTAAACTTTCTAAGAGGATAATAGTGTGATTATAATAAAAAATAGACACAAACACTAAAATTTTACATTATCACAATAATAAAAATAAAAATCAGTTTTAAATCCTTAAAGTTATAATATTCAACAGTAAGAATACTCATTCAAAACCTTTAACTTCTATCATATATCTCCGATAACTAATGTGGTTATTGAGCTATGTGTTATTATTAATGTTCTCATTAAATTCTTTTATTCACATTATATTATTTTGTTTTTATTATTTCACTTTATTGAAACACTTTTTATCGTCACAATAGTTTTAAAGTAAATGATATTGGTGGTCGCTACTGCAATTTAGATGGGTGCGAATATTTACTAAATTTAAAGTAATTGTAATTGTGAAAGAATTACTCACAAAACTCACTTAAACTTATGTAATAATATAACACGTGGGTTCGTATATATCCACAACACTATATATATAAAATGAATTATGTTCTCCTTGTAATTGAGTTTTTATTAAAACTGATACAATCTTCAGCTAAAATTACTCAATATATGCCAATTGAAGTACTAAAAGAATAACTTACAAAACTCACTCAAACTGTAGACTACTAAATATGCAATAATATATACAATACTTCATCCTCTCATTTTAGTTGAAGTTTTCTTAAACTACAAATTACTACGAACTTAAAACCTCTGACGACTTGGACCTTCTGCTTACAGCTATTATAGTTCTGAGCTTTAGCTTTAGCTAAATAACTCAATTTATACCAATTGTAATAATGAAAGAATTATTCATAAGTGGCACTCAAACTTATATAGTGTATATAATATAGACTCGTATATATTCAAATATTATCCAGATATACAAATACATACACATATACATATGCATATATGTACACACATATATATAATAGCAATAATATTTAATACTCTCATTGTAGCCGAATTCTTCTTAAACTACCACAATCGATAAAAAATAAACTGATTATTTTTTAAGATAAAATTACTTATAGTAATTCAACACTGCTGAATTCTTATTTTTATAGGTTACATTTATAAAATCACGGGAGTCGCGATTGCGTAACCGTTAAATAAATTTTTAGTAGTTTTCTCATCTACATATATATAGTTAATAAAGATATAACCATTTAAAAATATAGTACAAAAACACTCATAAGTCACATATTTGGTTTAGAAAGACACGTTGTTTTTACTTCGAATCAGGCACATGGTGAACCCACTCAAAATAAGCACTCAATTCTAGTACAATCAGTAAAGTAGCCAAGTCGTAATCCTTCGCCAACATGTGTTCACGTTTGCCATATAATATAGAAATCGATTTATTTGCTGCTCAATTTATTCAAATTAATTTAATTATTGCAACAGCAATTTAAAAACTTCAAAGGAAAAAACTCAATGTTCACTTTACTACTACTGGAATATAGTAGACTATATTTACAAAATATAAGAAATTTTACTCATAAAAGTTGGAGCGCTTTGTATACAGTTTTTAAGTAATTTCAAAAAACTGCACGTAAAAATACCTCAGTACTTTGAGTTCTCACTATTACCATAATTACCATATAGTAGACTATATTTACGATATGTAAAAAATTTCACTCATTAAGGCCATTGTTTAATAACATTGGTTCAAACACAGATTGTCAGTAATTTTAAAGCTACAAGTAAAATTGGCAACAAAAATTAAACTGAAACTGCTTATATTATTCCAATCAGTTTTATTATATCCTCAAATTCTCTCAACCATACAAATTAAGTAAGATAATTATAAAATGAGCTCTTCATATATTGATGACAAAAATGAGAATGTATTTATTAAAAAAAACATATATTGTACAAATAGATACATTTTTCTCATTTGTCTACTTCTATTATTAAAAAAAATGTTCATAAAGTATATTAAGTGATTTCGTGTTATATAATATGTAATAGGCTCGAAAAGGTTTTGAAAGGTTTTCCTTTGAAATAAAGAAATTCAAAGCCAATTATAGATCGCATTTTTATGCTGTTCTTATAAAAAAAATTGCAAGCTGAGATAACAAAGGCTTATCTAGGATAGGTAATTATAAAAACTATGTTAGTAGTAAAGTACTTACTTAATTCCGATTTCCATATTAATACTTTTCTTCACTTATTGTTGCTAGATAATTCATAAATAATTTCCATTACAGCTGTACTTTAATATTGCAATCTTTACTTTCACTCACTAATTCAAATATTTTTAGATATTAAAGTATTAAATATAATTTATTTACATTTTTCCTAAACATGAATTTAAATATTTTGAAATTTACATTCACAGATGATTGGTTAAAACTGATTTTAACAAAAACTATCTCCATCATCAGTCACTTAATATCTTTTATTCAATACAAACACAACACTAACCTTAAGATATTCACAAAAGTCACTCGCTTAGCACCTTGTCATTGACCAATCAGAACTCTGTATTGTTGAGACTATCTCTCCACTAATCAATATGAGAGATGCAACTATTTTTCTGCAAATAATCGAAATAGAAACACTTGGGAACAGCTTGATTAATTAGAAAATTTTTCCATCGGAAAGACATATCTTTTCCAGTAAATGCAGTGTACTGCATAAAAAAAGATCAAGCTTTTCGAATATCACTCAATTTATAAACTACACATGATTTTATCGTGCGAACGACTTGCTGACGCTCCTAAATACACGAATATTTTGAAAGCTCAAATAATTGAAAAGAGATAGATACATACATTGAAAACTTAATTATGTGAAGATTGAGATAATAAGATAAATACGCTCTTTCAGAGAAAAAACTCTCTATTTCTTAATTGAATCGTAAGTTCAAAAAAATTCAGATTTGCTCAAACTTCTTCAAAGAATATTTACAGGAAAATGACTGAATAAAAATGAATTTTATATATGAAAAATTTATAACAAGAGTTTAGCATATTTGCAAAAATGATCAATAATTTAAAAAAAAAAATTTTTATTTTAAAACCATGATCATTTCTAAACATATTTGAGTACAAAGACATATTCGACATCATATGAAAGGATATTTAGTGTACCAATAATCAGTAAGCGAATTGGGTTATGCGGAGGAATGTAATTAATTAGTAAATTAATTTTGTTACCAATAATTAGTAAACGAATTAAGTTATGTTGAAGAATACAATTAATTGTTTGTAAAAAGCTCGTTGACCAATATGACCAGTTGCTGCATTAGGAAATATAGATATGCTGTTATAATATTTCAATAAAACAAAAAATTTTAATAAATCCTTTTCTATATAAAGATTTTGAATATCTATATAATTTTTTATATGTAAAATTTTCCTGGACACAAAATTTTAATAAAAATTTAAAATTATTTTTTTTTAAATTAATTATGTTTCTTCTATTAAGATAAAATTTGATTTCCGACGTATTATTGAACTTCATCATCCATATATAATATAATTAAGTTTTAAAAAGAATTGCACTGGTTATTAAGTTAAAAATTAAATTATACTTACTTAAAATTTAGATACGAACTGCAAATGATTTTGTATTGAAATGTTATATATTAATTGCATTAATTAACTTTTATTTATATTAAATCATAAATATAAATATATGAAATGCATATTTCTCATTCAAAAATAATATTCTTCACACTTTTTTTATTAAATATTTAGATATAATTTTGTAGATATTAAAACTTTTTAAAGCTAAACTTTTTTCACAAATCTGAACTTAATTTCACTAAGAATTGAATATCACTGAAATCAGTCTAAACTGCAATCATTAGTTAAAGTAACTCATTAGTTTTCACTCAAAACTCTTCTTTTATAGCTGAAAATTGTTCCATACAAAGACGTGGACGTATTAGTGAAAACTATAAAATACTTATAATCAGTTGAGTCTCATTTGTATCAAATACAAATACATATCATAATATATACCGTTTGCAGATTAAAGATATTAATATATTCACATATGATTGTATATTGTATAGATGTCCTTTTCATACCTATATGGAAAAAATTAAAATTTTATACACATTATATACACACAGATTTTTCAAAAATTATGGTGACATTGCAAAACCTGATTAAACCATTAAATACAAATATATATACTTAATGCTTAAACTCACTTACTATAATCAAAACAATAGATAGCTATATACAAAAACTATATACTTTTAAAACTATTAAAACTATCTACCAAATCTACCTATATCTATTGATCTATCTATTTTGTTCTTCTATAATTTTATATTATTTCAAATGAGTTTGCTAACTCCAAAAGAACCACCAGCATCAGTTTTTATATAAAATATTCTAGGACAATTGGACAATATATAAATAATATTCTTTCGTGAAATTTTCTTTAGAGAAAAGTTTGTTATCTTGTATTATTTTACTACATACAAGCTAAAAAGTTTACAGTTAAGGAGATTTTGGAATTTTTTTTTAAAAAATACGATCATAGCTCAACAACATATTTTTTGAATTTATCTTATTTATTCTAATATTTTTAATTAATTATTTTCTAAGTTAGGTGTTTTCGAAAATATCTACAATGTTTAATACTTACATTTTAATGTATAAAATTTTTTGAATATGTTCTCAGAATTTGTCGTTTAATTTTTATACAAAAAAATCTTTATAATTAAGAATTGTTTTCTTAAAATTCTTGATTTTAAGAATAGTCCATAAACTTTGGACTGCTGATCGGTAAGGACGAAAGGGCTGGTATTTTATCTAAATTACAAATTACATGGATTAGATCCATACTTCTATGTTTATTGCAAGGAATATCGAAATTAAATGATGAATAATCACTTATTATGATAAGGCGAGTGAAAAAAAATCTGCTGATCT